CGGCTTGTGTACTGCATCATTACTGTGTCTGTTCCCCTTTCGGGCTTGAACTGATGGTAAAACTAATGACATTATTTACTGTCTTTACATTTATTTTGAAAGATGAAGCTCGTGATTATGGTAAGGGGCGTTACATTTCCGACGAGTGCTTGCGGTGTTCGGCCAATCACAATGCACTGGGTCAGCTGGCTAATCAGAGCAGACTGCGCTTGTCGGAAGGAGGGACTTTGTAGAAAACGACGTGTTTGAGAGAGGCGGGGCATAGAGGACCTACAATAATGTACAGTATTTGAAAAATAATGTGTTTTTTGAACATTAAAGCATGTCAACATATTCTGTTACACCAAATACACAAAATAATGATCTTTAAAAAAGCATCATATGACCCCTTTAATGTCTTGTATTAGCAACACTTCAAAGTTTGAAAACACAATACATCCCCAAATGGCAGATATTTGTTCTTGTTTTGAAGATTTTGTTTTTTTAGCAATGCATGCAACATTTAATGCCATGAATTTAAGACTTTCTGCTCTGATTTAACATCTTTTAAGGTCTTAATTTATGGAAGGGTGAATTAAGATTTTAAAACCATAAGAAACCTTGTTTTATAGTGATTTTCTTTTCTTTTGACCTTGATAGTGACTGATCACTTTGAACTCTGCAGTATTGATTTAGTATTATATATATATATATTCTTATAGTATTGAGTTACATTTTGAATTAGATTTTATTCATTACTATTCATTTTAATTTTAGTTTAAACATGCCTATTTTTTTTTTCCTTTATATTTTACATATATTCTAGATCTATTTATTTTGTAATTTTACATCTTTTAATTTATTATTTTTTTTATTTAAGTTTTAGTAATGTTAATACTTCGGCTTAAACTTATCTTATTTCAGATAGTTGCCAAGGGAACATTTCCAATTTTTAAGTTTTTTCATCTAAGATTTATCATTTTATTTCATTATATTTTTTATTTAATTTCAGCTTTATTTCAAATAAATATAAAGATTTATAAATATTTTTGTAATAATGTTAAAATAATGTAATATTACAGTAACATAATCTGTGCATTGGGAAATAACATTTAAAATAATAATAAAAAAAATATCATGCGTCTATCACAAAACAAAACCAGACTAAACTGCAACTTTTTGAGACCTTTTTTGACATGTTAAAATTGCGTAATGTGTACAGTGGAATAAGATGATTAATAAACTGAAATAACTATATTAGTATCGTGACCAGTGGATGAAAACATGCACACACACTCATATATAAACCGATACAGCAGCATTACTGTGACTGTCAGAGCTGCGGACGGACAGATGAGAGACCGACAGTGATTGGATGAGCACGGAGAGCCAGCCGCTGTGATTGGCTGAACGCTGTCAGGGAGGGACTGAGTGTTAAACAGACTTTCATTACTGAAGATGACAGATGTACAGCAGCGTCTGACAGTCCTCGTGTCTTTATCCCGCGCAAGCGGCCCCACGAGACTGCCTGTCACTAATGTCAGATCAGCTTCAGCCGTGAAACTTTATTAGAAATAAAACATCAGCTCAGGGTAGAGACTCCAAACCATCATCTCTGTCTCTGGCTGTTTTAAAGGTGCTGTTAGAGATGTTAGCTGTCTTGCTAACCTTTGCCAGACATCCTGAATAACTAAAGTCAGTGTTTTTCAACATCTGACTTGGAATAGTGCAACAGA